CAAAATGTTTTTTGGTGTTTCATCAAATGCTTTTATTTTGTTAATCCCCCGAAATGATTTCAAGACAATATTCACAAGTAATGATCGTAATATTTTGTAAAGAAGTATAAGAAAAAGAAAAACGCAATTTGAAAGATGCAAAGAAGGAAAATGTTTTATTGATATGCCTCTGGATAGGCGAGAGTACACGGTGCAATTCCTAGAAAGAGGTAACTACAGAAAGTTTTACAACTGTAAATGGCAATAAAAATGATAATCGTTGCCGATGTTCCCTAATTCCTTTTAATGATCCTATCTCCTTTGCCTCCGAGTTGAATGATTCAGATCTGTGTCTCCTTTTGTGGTTCATGGTCGCGGTTCATGGATCACATTCTTTTTGTTCTTTATTTCTTTGTATGGAATGATCCCTAATTTTTGCCTGGATTGCCCTTTCGGGTTTTCAATCCACCGGGATAAATTTTTTGTTATATGCCCCTAATTTTTTCCTGGATCGCCCTTTAGGGTTTTCGATCCACTGGGGATCTCCTTTTTTCCTAAGTCGCCTGTTTAAGGTTCGAGCTTAGCGAGCTTATTATACATAGTGTTTTTTACTACGTCTGAATTTTCCGGATGCGGTAGTTCTTCCCCATCCATTATTGTGGAGATAAGACCACAACCAGAGAATGTTGTTTTGACTACGTACGGACTTTCGTAATTAGGGGTCCATTTGCCACGTGGGTCGAGGCAAAGTAGCAGAATCTTCTTGAGTATTAGACCATGTCGTGGTCCATCTTGTATAATACATCGTTACTCTGAAAGAATTTTGAGGCTAATTTCCGTAGAGTTCGTTTGTCGATGCTGGAGGCATTTTCTGGATGTCGTGAAACCAAGGCTTGTTATATTGTCGTTTTTAATAGCAAGGCAATATGTGGGCTCTTCGAAGCGTCTGTTTGTGATGCCCGGTTCGTGGTTTGACCAAGTTACTTTGAATATAGATGATATAGTTGCCAGGGCGCCTGTCATTCGATCTCCTTTTCGTGGGACATGACTGAAAATGATCTTCTTGAATTTCGCAGTCGGTTTTAAAACATGATCTTGATAGGGAATCAATTTTGGATTTTTAGTATCTCGTTCACCATTGAATTGGTATATGGCTTGTGATTATTCTTTGGGGGAGTCAATATTGCCCCTATATCGTGCCCCAGTGTATTTGAAGCTTCGTCGAACGTGGATACCCAACATGCCCCTGGCTTGGGTTCTTCGTCAGATTTTGGTATTTCATAGTTGTTTATTTTTACGGCACTGTCTGTATTTGACTTTGGCCTGTTTTCATAGATATGTGCAATAACTTGATCAACTTCTTTGTGGCTCCGCTCTAACATTGCCCCTTAGCTTGGTTTCTTCCAGGTCTTCCCCTATACTCAAATTAATGGTCTTGATAGCCTCTAGATACGGTTGCGTATTGTTAGCTTTTTTTATTTCCCTCGCCATTTTCTCAGGGAGTTCAAGATCTTTATCATCTTCGTCTTTAGCTTGGTTGATAGGAGCATCAAAATTATATCGGATCGCAGCAATAGCATTATCAGTGGTTTTGGGAATGAATTTGCACCTTTACCATGTTTTGGTGCAACTTTAGTATTTCAATATTTAAAAATGCATATGCAGAGAAAGTATTGCCATTTTTAAAATTAAGACATGAATGCAAAAGAAAGACATGGATCTTGATTGAAAATAAAATATCACTTTTATTAATCGTAAATATTGTCTGAAACAAAATGGGGGAACCCTTACAAGCAACCCCTATGCCTCGGGCTTGGCACAAGTTCTTTCAAAAACAGGAAAAATTAATTAAGAAAGAAAATTTTCTCAGGAATCTCCATGGTCGTCCATATTTTAAGGCGCATTCTCTGATGAATTTGGTTTCCCCTTTGGTGTTGGCCTTGTTGTATATTTTCGCCACATGTCCGCCATGCACTACTCCATTGTTGACAAAGGTCTCTTGGATTGGAGGAAAATGTGCTTCGCCCTTCAGAGTAGCTTTATATTTTTCTTCGGGGTATTGCCCGAACTGGACTATCCCTTGGTCCCCTATCCTTTGTAGAGCTCTTTCGAAAGCTTCATTGTGTCCTAGCGGGAGTCCGCATTATTGGTTGGAATCTGTAGGGTATGAGATGCCCCTGCTTTTGTTGGTGGTAGGACAAACCCTTCAGTTTCAGCTTCTTGTTGGGCCATGACTGACTTTGGGATTCCTGCTTCTGGCTTTTTCCTTAGTTGCTGACCGCTTGATGCACCAATAGTCTGGGCTACTTCTACAAAAGCTGCCCTGGGAATCTGGTCTTGTCTGTCAATGATGTTCTTCAAAGTTAAGAGAACTTGACTCAGATCTCCTTTCATTATGGTGACGTCACCCTTTACTTGGTCGAGGTCCTCTTTGATTGTGGCCTGAGTTTCCTCGATTTTCTCCATTGCTTTCTGTTTATAAGCCCTTGTTTGATATAGAGGCCAAGAAGGTGGAGACCTTCTTCTACCAATGGTTCAACTGGAGAGATGTTTTTTTGAAAAATGAGTTTTGACATGATATGCGGGTGTTTATGAATGCATGCATGCGAATGAATGTGTATGAATATGAAATGGTTAATGTTTTAAATGTCCTATTCATCTGGGTACATGCTTGTCCTTTATTATTTTACTTGGTGACTATCTTTAAAATAGATACGCAAATGGTGTGTGGAAACAAAACGCCTTTATTGAAGGTAACGTAATTCAGATATTGAAAAATATTACATTCTTCAGCCAAAACTTTATTTGCGTGAAATCAGGAAACAAGGAAATAAGTCTTCTAGGCGCGCCTGCAGATATCTGCTTTTGAAACCATCCACTGTTGCTGGACAAAACTTGAGAAAGTCTCCAGCATGTTATTTCCCTTTTGTGGCCTTGATTTTAGACATGTTTGGCGTGTTGACGCGAGCAAGTTGTTTCTTTCGGTATTTGTTTTTAAAGATAGTCACCGAGATCTTGATTTTATCATTATTTTTTTGTACCCCGTGAATAAGACAAAGAAACGGGTGACGAATATATGATGAATGTATGGCGAATACATGAAGTGTATGAATGCGTGGGTGTAAGGCTGAATGATGGGATTTTGTGATAAGTAATCCTAGATGGTAGGCTCCTTAATTTTGACCTACAGTTAGTCTACCCTCCCAAAAGGTGGTTTCCTTAAGGGTATCATGAATAACACCAGAGGGAAAAGGCACAAGGGCCTCCCTTAGGTGGAGCCTCTTTACCGACTGAAACTTTTGTCTCAAAGTCGTGAAAGGTTTCGTCATGAGATTTTAGGTTAAGGTCATTACAAAGAGTCATGGGTGACCTTCCAAGGTCCTACTCGTCAAGATGATATCTCTCGATAAGTATTCCTTTTTAGGAAGTTCACCGACTCTAGGCGAAGTTGTCACATAAACTCGCAGGGATGATGTACCCCTAAAGCTAATAGCGAACCTTCTTTCTAAGGGTTATATGGAAAATATTTTTGAGATAGAGAAATCCTGCCACGCAGTAAATATATATGATAATAAGAGAAATTGACAGTAGATAAATAAAATGTGATAAAATAGATAAATGCAATAAATAAATAAAGCAAATAAAAATAAGAATCCCGAAAAATACCTAAACCTAGGGTTAAGAAGAGTCCCTAGCAGAGTCGCCAATTGTAGCAACTGGTTTTTAAATCAAGAGTCGCCACTATTAGTTTTTATCCTAGGGAAGGGAACCTAACAGAAAACCCTAATTCACGGACATAAATTCTAGGTTTCAGACTCAATTAGATGAAAGGAAGGTGTTAGGCACCTTTCATCTATCTTGTTCACAAGGATATTAAGCTCTAGGTTTGGGATAAACAGGGTTTTAAGTTTTAATTAGCAAGACTCGCCTTGAACCTTGTCTGAGTTGTAAGTTGAGTGATTGTAGACGCAATTTGTAGTTCGATTCAAAGACGATGCTATTTAATCTTTTTTTTTTTGAAAAATGATCTTGGATTTTGATTATTTAGATGAAATACGTTTGATCGTTGGTTAGCTGTTTTAGTATTTGATTTGATTAAGATGTGGGTGGGTGTGGGGGGGGGGGGGGGGGGGGGGGGGGGGGGGGGGTTGATATAGTCTCCTCCTCATATGGCCAGATCTCGTCCAATGTTACTCGTCATGAAGGATGCGGAGGAAGTCTCATATAGTCTTCCTCACCACATGGCCAGATATTGGCCATATGTCGCTTGCGGATGGAATATTTGAAATTGCATGGAATCGTATATCTTTGATTTTGAATGATAAACCAGAGGACGATGTGTCGACCGATTTAATTAATCGAAGGTGGATACTGCATTATTCGCGAAAATGTCGAATCAATTTGATTTGAAAAAAATTGATTATGTACAAGTGTGACGAACTTAATGTTTTAATCTAAAAAGATTGACCGAATTAATTTAAGTTATATTACTAAATTAATTATTCATATAAAAAATAAATTAAGAAAATTAATTAACCAAATAAAAAACTACCTAACCTGATTAAAAAACTAGAATAAATGGGCTAGGGGTGTAGAATCGGAAATGGAGTGTGAATTAGCAAAAAGATAGAAACCATGGCCCAAGAGCCCAAATCTAGTTAAACCTAAGTCTAATCATAATTGTTATTATTAAAAATAGAAAAAAAATGGGACAGTAAATATACATAATGGGTGGTGACTCCCTACTGTTGTCGACCAAAATTTAAGAGGAAAGAAAATCAATTGACTTTTCAACAAATAGAGACCTATCATAAAATGACACGTGGCGGAGTAAAGAAAATACCATAAAATAAAAACCTTAGTATATTACTGGGAGAGAGATATCCAATCTTCTCATCTCATCTTTATTTCCTTCTTGTTATTTCCTTCTTTACTGCACACTAAGCTGCTTAGCCCCTCCATAACCTATACATTCAACAAAAAAAAGGAAAAAGAAATACAGAAAACCAGTCAACAAAAAAATGGATCTCTCAATGAAGATGATGAATCCGACGGCGGAGAAACTGTCAGTATCGTTTGCTATACAGAATCGCGGTCGGTTAAAACTTTGGGAGGCGCGTGGTGGACGATGGCGGGATGCGGCATCAGAGGGCTCGGTCCCGTACGTCACAGAGGAGCAGTGGGTTGTGAGTTGGTCATTCGCGGTGCTGTTGTTCAGTCCGTCGGAGTAGAGCATTGGGTTCGCGAGAGAGCTTGCGGAGGTCGTGAACAGTGATGATGGATGTACAGTGGATGACAACTTGCAGATGATGTGTTCTACAGAGGGAATACTCGATTAGAAGGTAGATGCAGGTGATTGTAGTGAGATGAAGAAAATGGAAGGAATTGAGCATGGCTGAGTCGAAGAAGAACGAGGGGGTATGGACAACATGAAGAGGAAGTGGATTTAGAGTACCTGCATCCTCTTTGTTGAAATCTGATTATAATATATAATTAAATTATAATAAAAATTAATTTATACATAACAATTAGAACAAAATTTTAAAGAAACAAAACGGATGGAGTAACGTCAGATTTTTGAATGGATGTTGTTGTTTCACGATAGAAGTCGATGGGATAGCAATTTTGGAAACAGGAAATTGGAGTACAGATGTAGTTACCAGACTTGAAGGTGATTTGAACGGCAGGGAAATAAATAATATAGGGAGGGGGCCTCGTGTTAAATTAATTTAGACACATGTTTGTCTAAGGATTAATTTGTTAATCACCGGCCAAGAATAAAGAAAAATTAAGAATGAAAATTATCAAACACGAAAAGGAATAAGTTTTTGTGGATGAATAATTTAATAATAAAAATATGATTTTTGTGGTTTAGAAAATGAAAATAAAGTTAGTAACACCAAAAATATCCAAAGTGGACCAAGTGAGTTTCAAACCTGTAAACTTCTGCTTGTCAGTCTTTCTAACTTACCAACTGTGCTATGTTACTTATTCGAAAGTAAAAAGCCAATTGAAAGTATATGACAGCGAACAATTATTTTTTATTTTTTTACAAATACTTATTATATTTATAGACAAGACTTGGAAGCAAATTTTTTTATTAAAAATTCAAAATGTTAATATAATTAAATCAAAGGAATTTTATATCTGTAAAACCCAAATTCGAAAATAAGTTTGACGGTAGCAATTAGGCGGGAAAATTTAATTTCAACTTCCCTTTTATCAACGACCATTTAATAATTTAGAATTTTACAGTTACTCCACTAATTTCCATTTACGAATCGCATGGGCCAATGGCCAACTAGTTTCGCGAATGGATTCACGAATACGCGAGTCTTTCTGATTTAGAAAGCCTTGTTTTCCTGAATTAAAAATACACCCCTGATTGACTTAAATATTAAGAACGGGCCATCAGATATTGTTGTACCACCCTTAGTTAAATGCTTATTTATTATTCTAATCTTGGAAGATAAAATCATCGGGGGGTAGGACAAATTTGGGTTACGACAAACAGTATCCTCCTGCTGATGACAAATACAAGAAGCTGGAAGATTGCCTGAGTGCCATGGAAATCCAGAGAGTGTCTGGGTTGGATTTTTGAGGAGTTGGGATTGATCTCGGGGGTTGTTATCCCTCACATATTCAAGGTCCCTACTTTTGCGAAATATAATGTTGTTTCTTGTCCTAAACTGCATTTAAGGTCTTATGTTCAGAAGATCCAATCTCATACTGTTGATAGGAAGTTATGGGTACACTTCTTTCAAGAGAGCTTATCTGGGACATAACTGGAATGGTTCTATCAGCTGGAAGGAACCAATATATGTACTTAGGAAGACCTGGCTGCTGCTTTTTACAAGCAATATCAATACAATGCTGACCTTGTACCAACTCGTGTGTAATTACAAAGTATGTTTGTGGGCTCGAACGAAGGCTTCAAAGAGTATGCCCAGAAGTGAAGAGATTTAGATGGAAGAGTTCACCCTCATTTGTCTGACAGGGAGTTGGTCGATATGTTCATGGGAAATCTGACTAGACCTTTCTTTAATCATCTGATCAGAAGCTCCTCATCTGGTTTCACCAAGCTGATATTAACCGGGGAACATGTTGAAAGCGAAATTAGAAGTGGAAAGACTTAAGTGGTTGAGTCTTCAAGTACTGTAAAGAAGACATTCAACGTTAAGAAGGAAACAAATGTTGTGTATGGATATAAGGGTCGTGCTAGAAATGACCGTAACTAGTCTATGGGAGATGTGCTAATTTCTAATCCTACACCAGTACAATAACATCAGCAAGGCAATCATCATAGGTCAGGTGCACCCAGGAGATAATTTACTAAGATCAATATGCCATTGTCTCAGGCATTACAACATCTATTAAAGGTAGAATTAATAATGTTAAGAGATCTGCCTCAGAATCCCTACACTTCCTCCCCCAAGTACAATCCCAATGTAAGATTTGCTTATCATTTCAATAGTCTCGGGCACGACACCAATAGTTGCCGGGCTTTGAAGAATAAAATTCAGGACATGATTGACAACAAAGAGATCGAGTTTGATCCTCCTGAGACCCCCAATGTGATTACCGCTCCTATACCTACGCACGACAAAGGCATTACCGCTCCAATGTGAAAGACTTGACCACTCCCCTCCTAATTATCAAGAAGAATATTTTGTAAGCCGGTTTATTTCTGGGTTGTATTGAAAGATGCTATTGTTGTGCAGCTGTTGTACCCCAAAATTTGCCCTCTCTTTTATCCAAGACATTCTCCTAAGGTTCTCAAATGCTCAAGGGTGCTCAAGAATTGATTAGACAAAACCTTAATATTTTTTGTCAATATTAAGGTTTTGAACTAATATTCATGATTTGATCAAGGGTTGATCATGATTCATCAAGAAAAACCCTCAAATCATCAAAAGTCAAAAGTTACCAAATTAGGATTTTCTTTAGGAGAAGTCAACTGAACTTTAACCAAGCATAACTTTCACATGCTTCATCATATTTTCCTCAACCAAAGCTCATTATAAAGGAAATTCAATTCTCTACAACTCTGTCTCTCTAAGCTCAAGTCCAAAAAATACTTCATTTGAGAGATATGGGCCAATACATTATAGGATATTTCAAAAGTCAACAAAAAGACACTTTTTGTCAAGGCAACTTACGTCAAGATAAAGTCTTCAAATGCATAAATGATCAAAAGAGGGCTTGTAGAAGACATCTTGAGCTTTCCAAAAAGTACATCTTCAAATGATAAAAATTGAGAGAGTTATGACTAGTGCAAGTTTGGAAATTTTGAGTAAAAGCATGAAGTTCAAATTGAGCAAACTTGAATTTTTGGGTTAATGGGTTATTGTTTCAAATTCCAAACATGTTTTGCAGCTTATAGTACACCTCAAGACTTACTTATGCACCTCCTTGGGTTTTTATTTATTTATTTATTTTTATTTATTTAAAATTCAAAATAAAATAAAATAAAATAAGACAAGGCTTATTACAAGAGTCCAAGCCCATGTTGTTTGGCCTAAATTCCAACTATATAATCTCATTAAATTCAGACATGAAGGCCATGAAACCTTATAGCATTATCACCTTCCAAAAATCACAAAAATTATTCAAACTAGGGCAACTTGAAACCCTAGCTTGCAGCTGTTTCCAGTGCGTTCAAACTTTCTCATTCACTTCCAGCAACCCTACAGAGTAAGAATGGATCAAACACAATGATCCAAAACCCCCAGAACCTGCACGCATACATGGCCGTTTCATTTTTTTTGTTGCAAAACTCATATTTTTGTTTTCTTCATGTTTCATTGCAAACTAACTCCACTAATATGTTTCTAAGATGTCCTAGTGCAGGAATAATCAATCGTATGAATCCCATACTATTGGAATCATGAACTACCATGTTCACACTGATTTGAGATGTTTTTGGCATAGCTCCCAAACCAGTGCGTTTTATCCCAAACTAAATGTCCCATAGGATTCGCAGGGTTAGATTTAAGGGGTAGGGCACTCTTGGATTTCTAACAATATTTAATTTGCAGGTTTGGAGAAAGGGAGTCGTCGGAGAAGACGAACGGAGCTAGGGCTCCGACACTTATCCGATTCAGGCATTGATTTTGTATTATATTTAATTTGTTTTGTTTCAAACAATGGATGTATCACCACCCCAGTGGTTAACACGCACGCGCTAAAGGCCTTAATATGCAAGGGCACGGGTTCGATCCCTGCTTGGTGCATTTTGATGTTTTTTCACAGTTTTCTATGTTTTGCAGAATGATAACAAAGCACGCTTGCTTCCCTTCCTAGACACAGGTGTGTGCCTGGCCTAGTGGTAAAGGTCTTGGTGGAAAGAGAAAAGGGAGTGGGTTTAATACCCATTCCTGGCAGTATTCTTTTAAAACTTTGTTTTTCTTCATATTTTCCTTAATTTTACATTTACAAACCCTAAATTCATAAACAAAACCTTTAACAAACCTAATTTTTTTCAAAAAACCTTTTTACAAACCCTAGTCAAAATTAGTATTTAGACTTTTAGTTTAATTAATAAATTTCTTTTTTAATTAAAATTAATTAGGTTCTTTTAGGTTAATCATTAAAACTTTTTTTATCAAGAAAAAACACCTAAAACACGTTCGTTTCTTTTTTCCTATTTTTTACATTTTTGCGTGGTTTATTATTCTTGCACTTTTTTCCAATTATGTAATTGTTTCCTGGTTTGTAATAGTAATTAGAGTTTACTTTTCCCACATTTTTATTATTTTTGTACCTTTCCCAAAGCATTGTAATAGTCTTAGGTTTACTTTCCGCACATTTACTGATTTACTATTTTACTATATCCCTATTAGTAATTAGGTCATGTATGGAAAGATAAAAACAAATGATAACTAACCCTAATTTCAAGACTTAAATAACTGAATCACAACACAACTTGCACACTCGTACCTCTAGGGTAACCTCCCTTGTTGCCTTTGGAAAAATAGTCATGTCCCTCGAACGTGAAAATGCTTTAGCACAGTCCCTCAAAAAGAAAGATCACAGTCCCTCGATGACCCTTTTGATATTGCCTTCGGTAAACAATCTAGTCCATTAACGACAACTGCTAAAGCGTCCCTACCAATTGCCTTCGATGACTGTACGACGACCCACGCCTGTCCCTTCACATCCAATATATAGGACTACCTACCAACTAATGGTAAGGATATTACTATCTCTAAAGGAGAAGGAAAAGAATAAG